GAGCATCTGACCGCAGTGTGACATGGATGAAAACGAACGAAAGGCTCGGCATGCTGCGGCTCAGCGTCTACACAGACAAGCATCACCAGAGCTTCGCCCCAAACAACATCATTCACCACGTGGAGATGCGTTTTTTTTTTTTTTTTACCTAGAATTGCGTCTTTTTCCGCGCTTGGGAGGGGATGCGAAGTTGGGAGATCGATGTCCCGAAAACTTGGTCAGGGAGGTGACGTGACACAGATAACACCGGAGTGCCGACCGATTTAAAGCCCCTTCATGTTTCGAATGTAGCGCAAGGTGCGTCGACGCACAAGACATGTGCAACGTGCAGCCTTTGGGAAGATCATGGCGGCACAGCGCAGCACTGAGCTAGATATCAGACGCCATATTCTTCCCAGAATATGGCGTCTCCACACGTCTTGAGCATTTTTGCATCGCCGCGCTCCCTGACGACGCGCCGTGCCTGCTGCCGCGAACCGCGTAGCGCGCACGCGCTTCCTTTTAAAGGTGGTAGCATTCTTCAGCTACCCCCCCCCCCCCCCCACACACACACACACAAATTTTTCTTGGACTTTTTGGCCTCGTAAGTGCAGTAGGTATGCGCCGTAGACCATTTCGGTGCTTGACGTCGTCATTGAGGTCATCCTAGAGGTCGTCCCGGATGTCGTCTTCGGCGTCATCCTCTGGGACGTTATCCTTGACGTCGTCCTAGAGGTCGTTCTTAAGATCGCCGAAAAGGTCCTTTAGACGTCGCCCTAGACGTCCCCCTAGACGTCGTCCTCGAGATCTCCCTAAAGGTCGTTCTGGACTTCATCTTTGATGTCGTCCTCGACGATGTCTTAGACGTAGTCCTTGAGGTTGTACTAGAGTAACTAGACGAATGCTATCGCAATTCATAGACAACCAACAATAGTGGTTTTTGCAGCAATTTCTTTTCTGTTGACTTGCTCGTTTGCTCGCTTCAACGCGACGCGCTCCTCTCTGATAAGACCACCGTGGATAAGACTAAAGCACCCTTAATGTTTTAAAAGTAGTGCAAGGTGCGTCAATGCAAGAGGCACGTGCAACGTGCAACCCTTGGGAAGGTCATGGCTGCACAGAGCAGCACTGAGCTAGATTTCAGACGCCATGTTCTTCCCAGAAGTGGCGCGCGGAACGTGTTTCGAGCATTTCCACAATAATGAATGGCGCCACTTTTGCCAGGAGAGAGGGGCTTTAATCAAAATGGCGACGGATGCCGCTCCGGCAGCCGTGATTCCACAATCTTCGCTCATCGCTCTGGACAGCGACCGAGCGGCCGAGCTCGCGTCCTTTGCGGCGCGGGCAGTTCACGCGACCCTCAAGCGTGACTCCACGTAGCTTTAACCCCCCCCCCCCCCCCCTTCCCTCTTTCATTTCCTGTGCCACCCAGACGTAGTTCTACTGAAATTTACGCAGCATGATACTCCTATGCACCGACCAAATTTTTTTTTTTCAATCGACCAGTACGTGTTGGGCGTACTGACATCATTGCAACACCTGTGTAAGAAGCAAACTAACTTGCGCCTCGCATTGTTCCGTTTTCCGCACCCTCCCTCTACTTCGTCTCACACTTCAACAACCTCTGAGAAAGTCACATTTACACCGCCACCGCAAAAGATGGCAGCCCTAAAGAAGACATCTACAGAGCTCTCGCGTGCTTACTTTGAACAACACGAGGCCGCTTCACGCCACCCAGTCTTCACATGTGTACACAGTTTCTCCACACTAACACATTACATTCTGTGTTACCACCGCCTTTGCCACGCTATGGGGAGCGCAAGTTCGTCTGCTCCTTTTGCAGGGGCTGTGGTGACATCAGAAAGACTCCAAGCCCTGATTGGCTCTGCTTGAAGGATAGTGGGTAGACCTCAAGGCAGCTTGCTTTGAGGTCTTCTACCCACTATCCTTCGATCAGAGCCAATCAGAGCTCGGCGTTTTTCTGACGTCACCACAACCCCCGCTAAAGAAGCAGACGAACTCGCGCTCCGAATAGTACGGCAAAAGTGGCGACTCCTTTTTTTCACTGCTCGAACGCCGCTACATCTCGGCTTGCCGTCGACAATTAGGCGAACGCGGCCGGGGTTCGTAATTAGTACCACCAACCACCTAATCAAGATAAAACCGCAGCTTGTCTTTTGTATCCAGCTTTCTGCCCGCAAGCCAACACCCACGGCCCGCAAAAGGGACTGCGCTTTCGCTCTTCATTCCGCCGGCATTATTTGCTCGACCGTTTGTCAGCCTGCTTGTGGTTTCGCCTGTGTCTGTACGTGTGTCTGTGCCCGTGCGTTCATCGTGCGTTTGTGTGTGTGTGTGTCTCTGCCTGTGCGTGTATTTGCGTGCGTTTAAGGGTGAGAGTGAGCGAATTTGTGTATGTTTGTATGCGTTTGTGCCTTTGTGGTGTATATGTCTGTATCCGTATGTGTGTGTCCTTGCTCTTGCGCGCGTGTGTATGTGTGTGCGTGAGTGTTCGAGGGCATGTGTTTGCGTGTTTGCCACTGTGCCTGTTCGCGTGTATGTCATTGCCCGTGCCTATCTGTTTTTTTCTCTACATGTGCGAGTCTTTGGCGTGTCTGTTACTGCATGTGTCTTCTGCCTGCCCGTGCGTGTTCGTGTGCTCATGTGTGTTTGCGCACGTGTGTGGAGGCGTGTGTGTACGCATGTGTGCGTGTGTATGTTTGTGCGCTTGAGATTGCGTGCAAGCGATCTCTGAGGTTCGTCGGGGCTCTTCCTTCCTCCCGTCTGCAGTGCCGCGGTAGCGCCGGCGACGGCGTTGATTTGATTACGCGTCGCTGTAGTAGGGGAATTCTCAAAGCCTCGCGTGGGCTCCGAAAGTAATTCGCCGTTGTTCGGGGAAACGAGGCGTTCCTGAACGCGTAGATTGTCTCTGCTTTTGCGCGTGAGATGTCCTTCGGACGAGGGGCAGACTACGGGCGATAATTATTGGTTACCAGCATTTAATTCCTGTCACGGAACGGAATAGGCCTTATAGGCTAAAACTTTGACCGAACTGTGGCCCGCTCTTCTTGGGTAGTACAAGCTAACTGGATTGTTCTTCGTACTAATTGGGACGCCCTCATGTTGGTTATTATAGAAACTCGCCTGGTTGCGCACCGGAGAGACTATTTGTACAGCACTGCCATCGTTGAGATTACTCAACTTTTTTGTGGCGCTCACGAACAAAAGAAAACACCTTTCCATGTCGGAAATTACATAGATTCGATGACGTAAAATAAATAAAAGTGCGGGATTTATGCCACAACCTCTAGAGTACGCGCCGCCCATTTCTGGGTTGTGAGTCAGTCCACCTACACACCGTTCACACTTAAAGGAGCTGTGCAACGATATTCAATTGGAATGTTTTTCACTTGACACAAGCTTACCGGCACACCTGGGACTCAAGGATACTCACAGGCAACGCCACTGGCCAAGAAACTCCTTTGTTGCGGTGTAATTTCAAGGAAAAAAGCGATTATTTTCATTCAATTTCTCCTTTGCAAAATTTGATGACGTAACTCGGGGATCGCAGTACACCCAAGTGACGATATTTGAATGCGGTTCATAGATTGGACCCGAGCATTGCGTGGCACTCGACTTGGGCTCGTGACAATTGCTAGCTCGAGAAGCATTCGGGTAGTGACCCGTGTCCAATCGCTGCACTCTAAAAAAAAGGGTATCACTTTACACCCTTTTGTCCCATATAATACACCCCGAAACTTCATTTCGACGTAAAGCGCCCTATAGTCGAACAGACGGCACAAAATTTTACCAGGGGCTTGATAACGGTGCGATATAACTTATTACATTGCTAAAGTACGTATCAAACACCAAAGAAAGAAAACACGAAGCTTTTGCAGTACGGCCAAGAAAACTCCGATAATTTTTTTTGTAGTCAATAATACGTACATCAGCTATCTTAATAAGTTGTACCACACGGCTATCAAGCCCCTCGTAAACTTTGGGGCCGCCTGTTCGATTATGGGACGCTGTACGTCGAATTGAAGTTTTGGGGTGTATTATATGGGACAATGGGTGTAATAATACACCTTTTTTTCTGAGAGTGTGCAACGACGACAACAGCCGAGCCATAACAATGTCTGGAACTCAGCGCGTGTCCTGCGCTTTGCCAACCCCAGCGCGTGGCTATGATCAACATTGGCGGCATATAATCGGCTCCAGATCACGTGGCCGCTTGTTCTGGCTGCGAGTTGAGGGGGTGAACGCTGCTCGTTTTTCGTTAATTGTTTTCTGGGACTTCTATTGCGTGGGGCGAAAAACGAACGCGTGTTTAATAGGTCATTAACGTTAGGGATCCGTTTTAAGCGGTATTTGCGCAAAGTACAAAAATTGTTGCATCGCTCCTTTAAGCTGACACTAGAAGCTCCTCCTTCAGCGCGAGCTCACTGGCTTCCGGAGTGCTTTGGTTGCACGTGCCCGCGCGTTCAAACTTGTGTTAGCATGAACAGAAAGCTTGCATGGGGGGATCGGTGGCCGAGGGAGATCGAGCGCGCGTGCCGAACGTGCAAGACGTTCGAAACATGAGCTCCGTGGAAGCGTCTGCAACGGCCCTTGCTGGCCGCGGTTCTAATCACTCCGGTGAATCGACGAACGATGACTATAAAATTGTTTTACCACAGATGCCTACAGGAATTACGAGCGAAACATCGGTGCTTCTGCATTGCGATTTGAAAGGGCGCCCCTACCGTATCCAGGATTTTCGACAAGAGATGGCCAGGTGCGGCGTACTCGGCGACATCGCAGCACTTGGTGCGTACCAAATGAATCATGTTTGGATGGCTACCCTTCGAACGGCAGAAGCAAAGAGACGACTCGTGGACGCCAAAGAACTGCAGGTGAAGGGTCTTCGGTGCCTCGTCGTGGATCCCAGCATCACGGAGGTACGGCTTCGTCTCCACTGGATCCCGTATGATGTGCCGGACGACGTTGTGCGTAAGGAATTGGAGCCGTATGGCAAGGTCCTCGAAGTGAGCCGGGAGAAGTGGAATGTTGAAGGCTTCCAAGGGATCGAATCAACGACAAGGTGTGCGCGGATGACACTGAACGAAGGCGGCACGGCCGATACCATGCCACACCAGCTTCGGATCCAAGGTGGTAACGTACTTGTTGTGATCCCTGGTCGGGCGCCCTTGTGCTTACGCTGTAAGCGCACAGGTCATATTCGACGAGAATGCAGGGCGCCGAAGTGCTCGGAGTGTTTTCGCTTCGGGCATTATGGCACCGAATGTGTCAGGTCGTACGCCAGGGTGGCCAGCGGGGCCGGGACGGCCGAGGCCGAGACCAATGACCACGCCATGGATGCCGAGGAAGCGGAGCGTACTATCCAGGGCTTGGCGCCAGAAGTTTCAACCCCTGCCAAAGAACGCAAGAGTGAAGGAAGCAGCTCCTTGGGGGCAGCGAGAGAGAACGGAGGTCAACCGGAAGGCGCACCTCCCAGTGGTGCCGACGTGAAACCCTCTGATGCCGGAGCAGACAAGGAATCGAACGACGCAAGCACCAACGGACCTTCAGATATGGACGACACCAGCGAGTCAACTAAGCGAGCCTTCGATGACGATACGGCAGCAGGAAACGGAGCACGCCAACTACACCCCTGGATGGAACGCACGAAGAAGGGGCGTTACCAGCCCGCGCCCAACGATCCTAAAGAGGAACGTCGGCGCAGGGAAAGCAAGTAAGGCGTTCTTTGCCTGGTTTCCTGGTGTTTAAGATTGCTGCATCAAGACAACTTGGACCCTGACTGCATAGGTTTTTAGTGTCTGCACCGAAGCACAGCACATGATTTGTGAGTCCCAATCAGCCATTACAGTTGCAACGCTGAATGTTCGTGGTTTATGCACTAGAAAAAAGCAGTACCAAATACAGCGATTATTGTCGAAAGAGCAACCCGATTTCTTGGCGTTGCAAGAAACTAAATTGGCTGAGGCGGAACAGGTAGAGGAAGCAGTCAGACCTTTCATGCCTAACTACGAAATCTGTGTGACGCATGCAGTTGGTCATTCGGCAGGGTGTTTCCTACTTCTGAAAAAGTCGGTACCGTTGTCGCAGTTATGCGTTACAACGGACACTGAAGGACGTTTTATTATGTGTGATTTTGTGCTAACGTCAAATCAATTCAGGCTTATTTGCATTTACGCCCCAAATGTGACCACTGACCGCGTTTTATTTTTTGGCGGTTTACGTCGGTATCTTGATTGCGATAGAGCTCTAGTCCTTGTGGGTGACTTTAATTGTGTTGTACGACAGTTGGATAGATCGCCAATAAGACGGAACGCTGATAAGAGTGAACTACTTTTGGGCGAAATGTTGGAGGATTATGACCTGATTGATGTGGGCACTGTAAAAAACGCGAAGAAGGAAATGCGCTTTACCCATTTTCAAGCGTCGTCCAGTGCGCGTTTGGACAGGGTGTATGTTTCTGCCCCTCTAGCAGAACATTTAGGAAAGTACCGTGTCACTCCGGTCTTTTTCTCAGACCACAGTCTGGTTATCGCGACGATAGGCGACAGAGCACCTGAAAAGAAAAAGTTTAATTGGAACTTATGGAAACTAAACATAAAGCTTCTGAAAGACAACGTCTTTCTAAAAAATGTAGAACAGTTTTTGAAAGATGCTTTTAAAGAGCCGGGAGTGGACATTTTCGAGAAATGGGAACTGGCAAAACAAGAAATTAAGGCAATCGCCATTGAGAGGTCATCAATTCTTTCGTACAACGCCCGGTGTGAGGAACGCAGTTTAAACAAGGACTTGATAGAGCTATGTAAAGCAGAGTGCGAAAGACCCGGTAATGGGGTAAAAGACGTCGAGTATGTCAGAGAAAAATTAGATCAGCTCCACCGCGAGCGCTATCGTGGTGCAGTAGTGCGCGCCCGTGCAGAAAAATACACAATGGGCGAGCAGCCCACTAAGCGTGCCTTGGCAGACGAGAAGCGTTACGCACTTCGGAACGAAATAGCCGAAATTGAATTCAAGCAAATGATTACTACGGATCCCGAGAAAATAGCACAGGCCTTCCTCGAGCATTACGCACAGCTTTTTGCTAACAAAACGCAAGGGTGTCATACGGACATTTATGCCCAGCTTTTAGAAAAACTGCCAAGGCTATCGAATGATGAACGCGAAGAGCTTGAGCAAGAAATTACGATCCAAGAAGTGGAGCGCGCAATCGACGACCTGCCGAACTCTAAGACGCCGGGACCGGATGGATTGGGCGCAGAATTTTACAAGAACTTTAAGAGCCTAATAGCTAGTGTTTTTTTGAACGTCATACATACTGCCTATGAAAGAGAATGTTTGCCCTTTTCGTTTTCTCGTGCCTACACTGTCCTGATACCGAAATCTGATGACCCCGTGAAACTGCGCAGCGTCACCGGTTATCGCCCAATAACGCTATGCAATACCGATTACAAGATCTTCGCGAAAATTCTGGCGCGTCGTCTTCAAGGTGTCGCATGTGAGATAATAAGCGAGCATCAAACGTGTGGGATACAGGGAAGGACTATCTTGACAAATGTGCATGTGGCTCGTAGCGTCCTGGAGGCCTGCAGTGACAGCACCACGCAGGTTGCAGTGCTACAGATAGATCTAGATAAGGCATTCGACCGTGTTAGCCATGATGTACTCTTTGATGTTTTGAGTCATGTCAATGTTGGTGACACCATCCTGAAAGGTGTAAAGATGGCCTATAAGGACTGTACAACAAGGCTTATAGTGAACAAAGAGCTCAGTTCTGTTATTAACGTACGAGAGTCGGTACGACAAGGTTGCCCTATGTCTCCCCTTTTGTTTGATTTGTATTTAGAGCTTTTCTGTTTAAGCGTAAAAAATAGTCAACGCGTCCGAGGTTTCCAATTTTATAATGCAGAAGTAAAAATAATGAGTTACGCCGATGACATTGCTGTTTTTTGTAGGGACAAAGAAAGCGTTACCGAAGTCATAACTTTGGCTAAAAGGTTTTGCCACGCTACTGGTGCTGTTATAAACTGGGAAAAGTGCCGTGGTTTCTGGCATGGTGCTTGGGCCACTACACCCTCAGAATTTGGGGGTGTATGCTGGGACACAGTGCCGTGCAGGTACCTCGGGGTGCCATTGCAAAGTTTCCGGAATAGCCAAACGTACTGGTCGGGTGTCGCTACCGACCTGGACAGGCGTGCTTCTCGTTGGAAGCAACGCGAGCTGTCCATTTTTGCCCGAGCGACTGTTTGTAACGTTTTTCTGATTGCGAAGCTCTGGTATGTTCTTCAGGTCATCCATTGTGCGCGAACCAATGTTCAAAAATTTCATCGAATTTTCGCCACGTTTATTTGGAACTCGAAGTATGAGCCGATGAGACGAGACAATCTTTTTCATCGAGTTTGTAACGGTGGCGTGGGGCTTTCCCACCTTTTTGTCAAGCAACTTGTGTCGCGCTTCTTTTTTTTGAGAGACCAGGAACACCCGTTCATTCGCACACTGATTCAAACAAAAGTGTCACCACATTTGCCATCTTTTCTTGTTTCTTCTCATGGCGGCGAGCCAACAAGAATCACTGGTTTTTTGAAAGAAGTTGTTGACACGATGGGGTTTCTGACAGCACGTTTTTCTTTGAATTACCTTTGTGATGTCAGTAAAAAAGCGCTCTATCGCGATTTAGTTGTGAGTGTTTTCCCTATGCCCTTGTATCGAGGTGTGTCCCAACATGGCCACGATGTGCTTAGACGTGTAAAAAGGATGTGTGTTCCCGCGGCTGTTAAGACTTTCTTTTATAAATTACACACGAATACCTTGCCAGTTAAGGTTTGGCTTAAAGAAAGAGGGATCTATGTGCCATGGTCGGTAAATTGCCTTCTATGTAAAAAACCTGAGACTATTGAACATGTGTTTATTTTTTGTTGGGACGCGGTATTTTTCTGGGATGTCCTCCAACGCACTCTAAAGAAAGAATTACCTGTTACCCCAACAGGGATACGTTTCCTTAGAGTGGATAATGATAATGAAGTCCCTTATGACATGATTATGTTGTTAGCTTTGTGCAGCATTTGGAGATCACGTATGGCTGTTCGACATGCTGACCTCGACGCAAAAGAAGTGCGGATATATTTCTTCAACCTTGTAAAACAAGTACAGAGTGTGTATTTGAACTGTGAACCTGAGCCGGAGTGGACTAGTATTTTAAAATCACTCCTCGAAATGCGTGATTTTTAATACGCTGTGCAAAAAAGCTGTGCAGTGCTGTTAGAATGACATGAATGTTTTTGTACCTACCATGCAATAAAGAAAAAAAAAAAAAAAGGATCGGTGGCCGAGTGGTCTAGCGCACACCAGCTCGGAGCACGTGGAGCGAAAGCTCGCGCCGCAGAACCCAGGGATCCTGGGTTCGAGCCCCACCCCTGCCCGTTTCGATCTGGATGAGCATCGTACCGGCGTGCGGTCGTGTATCACTAATGCGTGGTGCACGTTAAAGACCCCAGGCTAGCGGCTCTACCGCACTGGCTAAATTTCTCATCTACAGCTGGGAGATTCGTCGCCCCTGTGAGGCAGACCAAGTTCTAGGCTGTATAAACACACACACAACCCAATTTTTTTAGAAAGCTTGCGCTGAAGGCGGAGCTTCTATGGTCTCAGCTTAAAACGGAGTATGGCGTTGCAACACTTCGGTATTGTTTCCTTTTTGCTGTGGAATGCCTGGAAAAGCGTGTCTCGACTCGAACTCTTAGCGTCTTAGCATAACCTTCTCTATACTCACAAAGCCTGGCAGTTCGACGAAGAAGCCATAGATTGCCCAGTCGCAGATTTGGAGCTCGAGGATCTGGTAGCACAGAGCTTCAAAGAGCCGTTTCTCGGGGAACCTGGACGTTACGCACAGCTTTTGCAGCGGCGAGGACCCGAAACAGACTCGTTCGCTCGGGAGGAGTGTGTTTCGGCGTCTCGCCGCAGCGGGGCACCAGTCACGTGGTTCTCCTCCCATCCGCTGTGTGCCGCTCCACCTTTTTCATTTCGGCGGCCACTTCTCGTAGCGATCAGCCAGGATTTGTCAGTCTGTAGGAGGCTATGGGCAAACCGATGCGTCCTGGCGTTGCCCTGTGCTAACGCCGCGCTTGCTGTGAGTCGCTGAAAGAAGCGCCAGACGGCGACGCTAACGACAGCCATAGGCGGCGCTGCCTGGACCCCCAAATGATAACGCTTGAGGGAATGGAAGGTAAGGTGCAGGCCTTTGTCTTCTAGGCGCTATTAGGTCTTGACGCAGTCTGGGTACCTCGTTAACGTCCCCACGATTGCGTCTTCATATTTTGTGTCTTTTTTTCCTTCCCATGGTCATGCACGCAGTCGGGACTGGGTTATTGATTTCTATGTTGGGCCCCGATTTCTGCACTCTAGGAATGGTGAACAGCCCTGCGTTCAAAAACTAATTACGGCCGTCTTTCCTGTGCACTGAGTGGGAGAGCAATCGGCGCCTCCAAGCGAGGGGGCACTCTGCTGATGCAACTCGTCGGCGCGTTCACGCCTGGCTCTTTACTGTTGCCTGCAGTTCGCACTTTCCCCTCTACCCCTATTCCCCGTTTCCCTCTGGATGCAGAGAAGTCGGCGCTGAATCCCAGAGGGCGACTGAATTGACCGGTCCTGTAATTACGGCGCGTTCATGTTGTGATAGAAGTTGAAGTTGTCATATCAAAGTTTAGACAGCTGGTAGTTGGTCCGCGTTCAAAATTCCGTCTGGGCTATCCGTTGCATGTGGCCAAGTGACCATTCC